CCGTCAATGAAAGTAGACGTACGGCTTATAAAATAAGATCTTGCATCGTCTTAAAAGACGCCTTTGCGAAAAAACTTTGTTGCGAGCGAACATCACAGTTGTACTACTTCTACATGTTTGTTTACATTCAGTGTCGTCGTCGTCGACCTACCGATCGACTGCATCTTAAGTTTCCTTTTTCCCGCCGAAACTGACGTTCTCGTTCCAGTCCTTTCCCAGTCAACAGACGTCGTCGTCGTGAACTTCGTCGTGGTTCTTAAGTTCCCTATTATTTCGTGGCATATTTCAGCATCTATAAGAACAGTCTAATTTTTAGAAGAAAAAATACTAACCAATATATTGGGACTTAACTTTCTTCAAAATTCTCCAAAAATATCAACATGCAGTGAGACATTTATTTGTTTATTCATTCTCGCTGAAAGACGCGAGCGAAGCGAGTTTATAGTCTCGTCACGTGCGAAGCGCGCGCGCAGCCAGCACGTTAACCGCGCGTTAGTTTTTGGATGCCCCATCTTTCTTTGACTATATCGCTTGGTGTCCGCCTAATGACGTCTTGCAACATGACGGGAAAAAAAGGGGAAAAGAAACAACCCTACTATACTACTGCCTAATGTTTTTCTTAACTGCTCATGAAAAATGTTTTGAAATATGAATGAAGAGCCACAAAATTACTATAAATTAAAAGAAGTAACGCATTCGAAACTCGAACGCAGTTGGGATTCCGAAATCAAGAAATTTCGGAATCTGGTATCTAATAAGACAAAGCTTCTGACATTTTCATAACGTCCCGAATAACAATTTCTATTACCAAAAAAAATTCAAATTAACCGAAATTGCAAATAGTAAATCAAAGTTTGCTGTATTAAACAGGGCATTTTGTTTCAGTCATGTTACCTGAAGGCGGAGTATGCCAGTGTACCATTGACGAGAAAGCAATTCAAACAAGCTGATTGAACAAATAGTGGTTCTTACTTCGTCATTTAAAGTTGGTTTTATTGATCAAATATTTCATGACAAATTTACCAAGCCCCTTCAATGTAAAATTAAGTCAGTCCTCATAATGTCTGAGTTTTCTCATCGGTTAATATAACTATCCATTCCATCCACTTTAAATAACTCAATACTCTCAAGGAGATAATTTTTGTTCCCTAACGATCCATTCCATAAAGAACGTCACGTTAGTGAAAACATCTGGAAATCCTGGAATGTTGCATGGCAGTCCCCAGCTTGTAGCCCCTATCAAGTAATACTTTCCATCTTTTTCGCACGCCAGTGGACCTCCGCTATCTCCTTTGCACGCAGATGTCTTTGTTCCGTCTTCAAAGCCAGCGCAGAAAGAGTGATCTTTTACCTGGGGGCCATAAAGTCCAGCACACGTTTTGTCCTCCACTAAGGGAAGTTTTGTTTTCTTCAGCGTGTTAGATTGCGGTCCGCCATTTGGGCCCCATCTGGTGGCTCCAAACCCAGTTACGGCGCACATTGTGCCTGGCTTGAATGCTGTAATACCTTCCTTTGAGAGACAAATTGGTTTTGCGCGGTCGTTAAAGGATACATTCTCTGCTAGCTCCACTAGTGCGATATCGTTGAAGTGAAACGGGCCGGGAACAAAATTTGGATGTTTTAGCACCTGAAAAACGTAAGATAAAATGCCTCGTTTCTGTTTGTTTTGTTTTGCTTATTTATGTTTATTTTTTTATTTATTTAAACGTAATCATGAATATCACCATAATCTTACTTATAACTATAACCAAGAGCCATAATAGTCCTATTATGGCTCTTGCTATAACTTAAGTAAGATTCGAGTTTACGCTTAACAGCTGGCTCGCTAACAATCTATTTCCTGCTGCAGATACTTGCTCTGAAAAAGTATTAAACTAAGGCAGGCTGCATTGAAGTATGACCAGCGGATATCATCAGTCTGAGGTAACGCGTCATCGCATGAGGTGTGATAAAGCCGCGGAGTTGAGCCGAGGTTCTTTGACTTTTTTATCGCTGGTTTCCAGCTGACGTAATGGCAGCCATGTTGGTTGAGAAAAACAAAAGGATTTCCCTCCGCCAGGAACCGAACTTTTTCCATGCAAATCTTGCGATCTATTTTTCGCCAACCAACTAATTGTAGCCTTGTCAGACCTTGTCAGTCACACAGTTGCAAACCAAGAATATTAAAAATCAGCAATCATCGTACCAATCACCTTGGTTGATCAACAAG